CCCCAGAGATTTGGTTTTAATTGGTCTGGGGTGCCTTCTAAGCATCAAGAGTTTTTTTAAACTCCCGAGGTGATCCTATTATGCAAGTTGAGAAGCTCTGACGTAGGGACCAAAATAGAGAGAGAGAAAAGAAGAGGACCCAGGGCTACCGCCACCTTTCGAGTAGAGGGGAATGAGGAAAGGCTGCCAGTAAAGGAGGCTGAGAAGGCACAGCCCCGAGTAGGAGGGAAACCAGGACAGTGCTGGGTTCCGGAAAAGAGAGAAGAGTGTTTTGAGGAAAGGGTTTCTATGATCTTGCTACAAGTGTGGGCCTCAGGCAGCAACATGAGCATCACCCGAGAGCTTAAAGAAATGCAGAATCGCAGGCCCCACCAGATCCTCTGAGTCATAATCTGCATTTTATCAAGATCCCTGAAGAACTCATATGCACATCAAAGTCTGAACCAAGTAACCACTGAATCTGGCAACATAGAGGCCACTGGTGATCTTGACGGAGCAGTGCAGTGGGTAACGGGCAGAGCCATGTTGAAGCAGGACAAAGAATGGAGGGGAGTGAGGAAGTGGGCCAGCGTGTGTGGAGGGGAGCAGAGGAAGAGGGTATGGGTCACTGAACCTAAGAAGGGACTTGTTCTCTCACAAAAGGAGAGAAGGAAGAGAACATATCAGATTTGAGGGTGGACAAATGAGAGTCTCATTTAATGGTTATTTTTCACCTATTTTCTCAAAGATTGGGGAATGAAAAATGGGGAGAGAGGACAGGAGGCTGGAGTGTGACAGACCTGTCTCAGGCTGCCTAGGTGATGGGGAGGCAGGGAATGGCTGGCCCCTTTCTAAGATGCAGCCCTTTCTCCAGGACCCCCAGCCGAGCCCCTGGAGCCCACAAGGCCCCTCCCCACGCTCCCTGTCCGCAGGATCCATTCACCGTCTGAGAGGAAGCATGAGCGCCAGCCCAGGCCTCCTCGGCCACCCCTCGGGGACAGGCCATCCACACCCGGTGCCAAGCCCAACATCTGTGATGGCAACTTCAACACAGTGGCTCTCTTCCGGGGCGAGATGTTTGTGTTTAAGGTAGGCCCAGTCAACAGGCACCTTCCAGGGGTCCCCTCCCATGTCTTTCCCACCATGGAGCAGGCTGCTGCTCTGGGATTGGGCCTGCTGTGGGGCCTAGCTGGGAGCTGGCCCAATGGCCAGGACACGGGGTCTCTTCCTGGGGCTGCTGAGTGAATCAAGAGGGAGGGGGGGAAATTGGTGACCCCAGGGTTACCTCTTGGAAGTGTTGGAGACTTGCTTCTGGTCTGTGACTAAGCAAGTCACCTCCCTTCCCTGGACCTCAGTTTCTCCATCTGAAAACTAGGGGTCATTCCCCTAACGAAGGTGTATGAAGATCAAATAATGCATGGCTATGAAGTAGGGGCTGGCACAGTGGTGGCTGTGTCTGTCTCCCGATCCTGCCAGGGCTGAGAGGCTGGCACTCAGGTGTGCCTGACAGGAAGCAAGCCAGGCTACCTCTTGTCACCTGCCTGGTCCTGTCACCTTAGCCAGGGGCTGACTGGTGGGGAAGCCTGCTTGGTGTGTTGCACTGGGTTCTAAGGAAGCAGACTCTGAGACGATGTTTGGAATGCAGGACTTTGATGAGGGAGTACCTTTGGGATCAGCATCTGTGGGAGGGAAGCAGGACTGGGCAGAAGATGATAGTTATAAGCAGCCATTAGGCCCATTGCAGACTCAGCCACCCTCGCAGGGGGCTCTGGAGCTAGGTTGGCTGGTCAGAATTACCCCATATTGGGCTCCAAATGGCTGTAACTTTATACCCCCTGCCTCATTCAGTCATTGGATAAGGAAGGATGTGACCTGGGGGGAACTCTCTGAAGCGGAGGCCATCCTGAGAGGCGGGCAGTTGAAAACTGCCTGCGGACCACACTCCCAGCCTCGGAGGCAGTAAGCCCTCCAATGAAGGGGGTCTGGGCAGCACGTCTCCATCACACTGGGAGGTCGTGGAGGACTTCCCCACTCCCCTCGTGGAGTTCTCCCCAGCAAGGTTTGAGCAATGAGCAAGAATCAGGCACCCTGGGTCAGCCTGCCTCTCGCCGAGTGGCTCTAGGAAACCACTGGGCATTCCTTAGGACCCTGTATATCCCAGATCAACTTAACCAGAGTTGTGAAAGTCAAAATAAGGTTTAAACAAACTGGATGTGAAAGTGCTTTGTAAAACACGTTTGAAAAACCTTTCCTAGCCTTTGTACCATCTTTTACGAATCATTCATTCTTCTGTACTCTTGGATCCTCCAACTGAACAGTTCCTAGGCAAGTCTGGGTTTTATCATCCTCACTTACACATAAGAAAACTGAGGTCCTGGGAGGTTGTAGACCTGGCCCAGTATGCCTACCAGCCAGGGGCTGCAGTGAGGCCAGGCACCAGTTTGAAGAGGAGGGCTTTTCTCACACTCTTGGCCTACTGACCTGCCATTTATTCAACATCGACTATGTGCCCCCTATTGTTCCAGGCACTTTGCCTATATTCTCTCATCTGATCCCTCATTATTCCCCCATTTGCAGGTGAGGCTCTTTAAGTACTATGCCCAAGGTCATGCAGCTATAAGTGGAGGAACCTGAATTCACATCCAGGTCTTGGGGGAATTCCCCCAAGCAAAAGAGGGTTTGCTTCCCACGGTTTTTGCCCTGCTGGATGGAGCCAGCCATGTATGAGGAGGGCACTCTGCCCAGGCTCAATGACCTAGGAGTGGCTCTGCTGATGTCAGTGACTCTCTGCTGCCCTCACGTGGCTACTCCAGGCCCTGGCATCACCCCTTCTGCTCCTCCACATCTCTTCTCCCATCAGACCTGTCTACTCTGTCTCAGGCTGCTCCTTTAAGGAGGCTTACTTAAAGAGAGTTAATGAGCATCCTGTCTTCCTCACAGGGCTTTGAAAGTTAGAAGCAGTAAATGGACAGACTTGACAAAGGGTTTCAAGGCTGGGCACAGGGGAAGGTATTGGGTGGTTTGGGCTGAGCACTGGGTTCACAGGTTATGCCTCTTCCTCTCCCCTCCTTAACCCCTAGGATCGCTGGTTCTGGCGCCTGCGCAATAACCGGGTGCAGGAGGGTTACCCCATGCAGATCGAGCAGTTCTGGAAGGGCCTGCCTGCCCGCATAGATGCAGCCTATGAAAGGGCTGATGGAAGATTTGTCTTCTTCAAAGGTAATGTGGCCTGTGCTGAGGTACTTGGGATGGTTCCCTGTCCTCGGGACTCCCTTTCTTCATCTGTGAACTGGGAGAAGTGGGGTGGGAGGCAGATGTACTCCAAGGGTCCTTCTAGCCCTAACAGAGACACTGACATTTGAAAGGACAGATCCCTTCAGGCAGGCAATGCACAATTTGGGGAAATCAAGTCAAGGAGTGATTGTTAAGGGTCTGTATGTGTCAAAGTTGGTGGGCAACAAGCCTCAGCCACATGAAGGAGAGGGTTGTACAGGCCACTGAAGACCATCAGTGCTCCATGGAAGGCCACCCTATCAATTCTGTAAGAGTCCAGAGGGAGGAGGCCACACAGCCCAGAGGCTGGAACAGTCGGGGAAGGGGGAGGGGGGCCTAACATGTGCAGCAGGCCACCCTGTGCCCTCCCCGAGCCCATCCTGTGCTAGGTGGTTTCACTTCAATTATCTTGACCTGGGTCAGGTAAGATACAGACAGTTAGTGAGAAGCAAGGAAAGCATTCCAAGGGGGAGGGAACAGCATGGGCAAAGGAGGAGTGTGGGAATGTGCACGCGTGGAGCCCCTCATCGGAAAGCTGTGAGAAGTGTCCTGGAAAGGTAGTTTGGCGGGGAGAGGCCTGAAGAGCCTTGTTTGCCAGGCCAGAATTTAATATTGATCTCTTAGGGCAACACTGGAAATTCACTGAATGTTTGTGAGCAACAGAGAACCAGAGAGCAGGTGCAGAGGCGGGAGGCCATTTCTGAAATGGTTGCTGGAGCTGAGGAGAGTGATGTCCGCAAGGCCCATAGCAGGGAGGCTAAAGACAGCTAGAGGAGGAGGAAAGAGGGCCAGAGGTGATGCCAGGACTTGTTGGGGATGCTGGGAGGCTGAAAGGTGATGAGGGAGGGCACCCCTTGTGATGGAGATGGGGAACTCTGGAAAGCCAATCTAGAAATGCCCAGAGGCAGATGGGCCACAGGGTACCCAGGTCTGGTGCTTGGTCCACTAAGAGAGTGGCTATGGGCTAGAGCCTCAGAGTTGGGTGTCATTGGTGGAAGGGGGGGAGCAAGGAACACTAGTGTGTACTAGTGGCTGAGATCACTCAGAGAGGAGAAAGGAACAAGTCACAGAGGGTGAAACATGGAGCCTGGGCAGCATGGAATGAGTTGTCCAGGATCTGTGACTGGCTTCTGGCCACTTGCCCCCTATGGTTTGCCTGGGCCAAGAGGCCTCAGTCCTCTACTGAGGGCATCAAGCTGGCCTAGGGCTGTTTCCCTGTCGTACTCTGGCTCTATGAATGACTTCAGTCCCCGAATAAGATGGGCAAGTGGCACTAGCCACAACCTCTGGCATTGAGTGACTGGGCAAAGCTGATCCTGGGCTCCTCTTGGCCACAGGTGACAAGTACTGGGTGTTTAAGGAGGTGACGGTGGAGCCTGGGTACCCCCACAGCCTGGGGGAGCTGGGCAGCTGTCTGCCCCGAGAAGGCATTGACACGGCTCTGCGCTGGGAACCCGTGGGCAAGACCTACTTTTTCAAAGGCGAGCAGTACTGGCGCTACAGCGAGGAGCGGCGGGCCACAGACCCTGGCTACCCCAAGCCCATCACCGTGTGGAAGGGCATCCCACAGGCTCCCCAAGGGGCCTTCATCAGCAAGGAAGGATGTATGTATGGGCCCGGCAGGGTGGGAGGGGTCTCAGCAAAGCCCTCGGGCACACTCTCAGGGTATCCAGGTTTGAGAAACACTGCCTGGGAGCAAAGACAACTGCCTCATATCCACCCATGTTCACACAGCAAAATTCTCTTACCAGCGACCAAGTCACAATTTCTTATCTTCAGGGATGATTCTCCATTGAGAGATGTTTTCATAGACTGACTTCATTCCTTCAAACAGCATTCCTCATGGGCCTCAGGTGTACTCCAGGAGTTCCTTGAGTTATCAAATCTGAAAAGCAATGATATGGTTTTCCCAGGGTGTGAGGGCAGGGAGGTGGAGACAGAAGCTTTCTTTGTTACGAGACATTTTCTAAGCTCCTCCTAGAGGCCAGAGTAGGAGCTTCTCAGGAAGAGGCTGGGTCTTGTCAGGCGCAGAGTAGGTATCATAAATGTCTGTTGAATACATCTCCACTGATATGGTCAAAAGCACAGCCTGGCTGGTTTCACATCCCATCTCTACCACTTACTATGAGTTTGGGCAAATCACTTTTTTTCCTCAGTTTCCTCATCTATAAAACAGAGATAATAATGATACCTACCTCATAGGATTTTGTAAGGATTAAATAAATCATGTAGAGCACTTAGACTAATGCCTAGCACATGGCCCATGCCATCTGCTTTAGCTGCTATCATCATTGTCATCTTGTTGATGTGTTTTAGTTTATATGGAATGACAGATTTACTCACTCCACAGTAATTACTTAGAACCAGGTTGTGTGGGAGGGCTGAAGATGGAGCAGAGAACAAGACTTGCATTGCATCCTGTTTCTCGGGCTAGGGGCAGAAAAATAAGACAGCAACAAATGCTGTAAGGGAAAGAAATGCTGTGAGAAAGCAACTAGGCAGAGGGGGCCACTTTAGAGGTCATTGGGAAGGACTCTGACGAGAGATCACTGGTAAGAAAGCCAACAACTCCAGGGACAGAGCAGCTATCTGGTGGCTCTCCTGTGTACCTAATGCTTTACACACGTGGTCTCACTTTCTGGGGAGCCTCAGAAACAGATGACATCAAAGACTTTGGCCAATGAACGTCCCAGCCAGGGTGGGGAACCGGCCAATGAGAGTCTGAGTGCGTTGCTTTGCATCTGTGGACTGGCTTGCTGCTAAGGCTGTTGCTGGGGGCCTTGGGGTGGCCCCCCCAAGTTTGCTGCCTTCTTTCCTCCCAGCCCCTCCCCTAGAAGGGTCCCAGAAATCTTGTAATCAGTGTTTCGAAGTGATGTATGCCAAGCCAAAAAAAAAAAAAAATCCATGATAATTGCCAAGAGGTGGTGTCTGCTGTCAAGAGGAAAAATCTTGCTCCCTGCCTCCCTTGGCTCAGGCAGGAGCTGGACTGAGGCACTAAAGCTATGGAGATTGCGCTGTCCAAGCCCTAAGTTGGGGGCTTGATCTGACCCATGTGGGGGTGCCTATGGGGACAGTGTGACAGAGCTATGGCCCCAGGCTGAGAAGGTCCAGTCTGGGAAGCACAAATTGAATTTACCAATTTGACTTAAAGCCCCTCTATGGCTCCCCAGAACCTTTGAGAATATGGGGTGGGCTGCTCCAGGTCCTGGGTGCCCATTTCTGCAGCCATGCAGATGACAGTCCATGACCCAGACACACTATTTGCAGGCTGTGCCAAGCACTGTGCTCCCCCACCTCCAAGCGTGCCAACACCCTGTTCCCACCACCTCACCAGCCCACCCCTCCTTCAGAGCTCCTCTGGGACTCCCCCAGGTGGGAGAGGTGCCCCTCCTCCACACAGCCACAGCACCTTCCGCCCTCACATGCAGGCGCAGGGAAGTGTCTGGGAGTGGTGGTGATGCTGGGCTGTGTTTCTGCAGATTACACCTATTTCTACAAGGGCCGGGACTACTGGAAGTTTGACAACCAGAAACTGAGTGTGGAGCCCGGCTACCCACGCAACATCTTGCGTGACTGGATGGGCTGCAACCAGAAGGAGGTGGAACGGCGCAAGGAGCGGCGGCTGCCCCAGGACGACGTGGACATCATGGTGACCATCAACGACATGCCAGGCTCTGTGAATGCGGTGGCCGTGGTCATCCCCTGCATCCTGTCCCTCTGCATCCTGGTGCTGGTCTACACCATCTTCCAGTTCAAGAACAAGGCAGGCCCTCAGCCTGTCACCTACTATAAGCGGCCAGTCCAGGAGTGGGTGTGAGCAGCCTAGAGCCCTCTCTGTCCACTCAGTCTGGCCAGTCAGGCCCTTCCTCACCAGGGTCTGAGGGGCAGCTCTGGTCACTGCTCACTGGAGCCAGCAGGGCCCTAGGCTAGGGGTCATGTAGTTGAAGTGGTGGGCGCATTGGCCTAGGATGAACGTGGGGCAGGGAGTGATGGCAGCTGTGCCCCAGGGTGTGTGCCTGGCACCCAGATGCCAGCCTTCTGTCCTGGGTAAACTGCTCCCTACTCAAGGGAATAGGCCAGGCCCCATGCCAGGTGGAGGCCCTGTGGTCACTGCATCCTGTGGTGTCCATGAGACGCCACAGCTTGGTTCCTGGCTGGACCCAGCACCTTCTGTGGGAAGCCAGCACTAGTGCTCTCGGTCCCATCTGGGAGAAGCCACCAGTCCTGGTCCCTCTTTGCCAACACCTGCTGGTCAGATGTCCCCCCACCCCCACCCCACTGTTCTCCAAGGCTACAGGACCCCTGCTGCCAACACAGTGGGCAACAAGACGGGTTTCCCCTGCTGGCATGCAGCAGATCCCTCAGGAAACCTGCTCCACACATCAGGGTCTCCTCTGAGACCCAGGATTTAGGGTCACATGCTGCAGGCAGGGCTGTGGCCCAGCCGGGTCTCACAAGGACCCAGCTGTCACATCTTGAACATTTAAATGTCCTGTCTCTACTGTTTAAAGTCCCATTCTGCAAAGGCTGCTTGAGGCTTTAGGTGAATTAGAGGTGACTGTCTTGGTGATGAGGCCGGGTGACAGGCCATGCCCCAGGTGATAAGGACCACGGTGCTGCTAAGGCCACTCTAACACCCAGACACCCCAGGAGCCAGGCCCTCCTCCCGAGGCTAACGCACTGGGGCAGGAGCTGACCCTATTTCTGGAGGCTGATCTGAGTTTGTGACCATCCTCCACTCTCCTTACTTTCTCCCCATTCCCTCAGTCTCTAGCAGCACCCCAGCCTGTAGCTTGTGGCCTGGGGGCTCAGCCTGACTGGTTACATGAGGCAGAAATGGCTTCAGGCCAACATCCTCATGGCCTTGGGTAAGGGAGTCAGGGCAGCCTTCTCAAGTGCTCAGAGCCCATACCCCCTACGTACCCTGAGGCCCACTCAATCCCTCAGACTGGAACCAGTGTTCATATCATGAGCTTGGCCCTTGCTAACCCAGCTCTCTAGGCCATTTTCCTGCGTTGCTCTTTGGAAAAGAGCACCCCCATGGGTAGTGGCCCCAAGCCTAGGGGCCCACCCTACACTGTCTCTGGCAGGAATTCCTAGGGCTCAGCTTGCCTCACTCCAACCCAGCAGAGGCAGCCCTGCTGATCACTGAGAAGCCCTGGGCAAGACCAATGGGTTCAGTGATGCCCGCTGGCTCTCTGCCAAATCCAGGAGGTGGTATCAGTCTTCAGGATGCTGCCACCCTGGCCCTCTGAGCCTACAAGGACCTTGCCCCCACCCTGTGACCTCTGGTCTTTGGGTCAGCTTAACCTGTAGGAGACAGGGACTTCTGTTGCCCTGGGAGCTGTCTGTCTAAAGCAAAATCTCTTGTCCCAGAGGCACCTATTGGGCTCCACTGTGTTCCCTGTCATTATCCTTCTGTGTTTTGTTTTGTTTTTCTCATTTTGGCCAAGGGCGGGCTCCCTGGGGCGGGTGGGGAACAACTGCGGAGATATAAGTGATTCATAGGTTTGTACACTGTTTTATACTTTGCAAAGCACTTTATTAGCTCACACCTGTCCACTCACATGAAACTAGTGTAGGCCCTGGGAGGCCAAGGGTAATTTTCATCACGCCCTCAAACGAAGCACAGAGAGGTTGTTACGTGCCCAGGCCGTCCAGTGAGCTGGCTGGGCCTTGGTCTCCACCTATGGACCATTCTAAGGTCCAAGATGAGATCAGAAGTGTCTCTTTTATCCATCTTCTCCTGGCCTCCTTTCTCCCCTTCCTGGTCCCTCTCCACTCCTCAGGTTGGTGCTCTCACTTCTTGAATGCTCTAGGCCCCGCAGGCTCCCGTTGGCTCCTAATACTACCAAGGTCAGCTGAGAAAGAGCAGGAGATGGAGGCAGGCAGCCCAGGCTGCAGATGTGAGGGATGCAAGGCTAGACCCAGAGAGGGCTCAGCCTGGAGGCTTCCAAACTCGGATTATCCTGCCTTGTGATCATCTGTTTGTCCATCACCCCAGGACAGAGCAGACAGAGGGGCAAAGCCCTGGGGGTCCCAGAGCCCAGCTTCCCCTCAGCCTGGGGAACATCATAGCATTTCAGTGTCAGTCACATTTTAAACTGATCAGCCTTTGTATAATGTTTTTTAAATCATTTCTAAATAAAACAAAAATACAGTCTGTCATTTCCCTTGGATGTGGGAGAGAGAAACAGGTTCTGAGAGTGGCCTAAGAAGCTTCTGGGAGGAGAGAAACAGGGTACTTTGCGGTGTCCAGGAGCTGCCCCATTCGTCTCATCTGCCAGCCCAGCAATCGCACATCCCCTCTCTCCAAGAGAACCAGTGGAATCGGGTCCCAGAAATACAGCCGGACAATGCCTCACTGGGTCCAGGCTGGAGGAGCAACCTCCCCCGGTTCAGGAAGAGTCACCGCAGCAAGGTCTTCTCTGCAGTCAAGGCCCATCGTGCACTGACCAGCACAAAAGCAGGAGCCGAGTTCTCAGCAATAAGGGACAAGTGAGGTCAGTGGCTTTAGGGTCTCACCACGAACCCTCGCCTGGTTCCGGAAGTCAGTGACAGGGAAGCTGAGCCAGGGCCCAGATGGCTGGAGCTGTGGGGTGCGGGTGAGCACGAAGGCTGAGGTGGTTTGGGTGTAGGATGGGGAGCGAACAAATTCAAGGTGTCCCAAGGCGCTGCTGTGGAGGCAGCTCTGCCGGGACTGACTTCCCGGCCCCTCGACCTCCTCAATCCCCGTCTCTGGGGCGCCGGTGGGGTGGGGGCGGGGGCGGGAGGGAACAGGCTGAGAGAGACACTGGGCCGTGGGGACAGACGACAGTGGCCGGACCGGGCGAGGCGAACAGAACAGGCGGTGAGCGGTGACTCGGAGGGCTGAGTCAGTACCAGGAGGTGCAGGCGATGAGGAAGCGCACGTCGTCCAGGGGCCCCCAGGGGCTGGGCTCGGGCCCA